CGTCGCCGCCGTACTACCTTTTTAGCAGTAAAGTTGTATGTAAAAAAACATTCAACTGTCAAAATTCGAATTTTAATATGGTCGAACTATCGGAACTGTTGTATTATCGATACTGTTGAATTACGGTTTGTTATTTGATAGGCCGGGGGTCGGGATATCAGAATATGGTCGAATTAAGTTAGAGTGTCTAATTTGCGTGTGTCGAATTTGAAACGAAAATGAAAACGAGGTTATACTGTATATATATCTGTGAGGTGGACAATCGCTGTGGTCACCCAAGTGCTGCTGAAGCATACAAAGCAAAGAAGAGAGACCTTGTGGCTGACAACAGGAAAAAGGGGAATCCCAGATGGGTGTATCTGCTTACTACACACAGGAACTAAAAACAAATTCCCTCAAGATGGTGGGTTTTTAAAAGGTGAAGGAGGCATTGTCCCAGTCTTATCCTCCTAGGAGATAGCAACATCCTCACTTTCCTTTTGGTAGCCACTTGTGGCATTCTTTTTTTTTTTTTTAGAATTTCATGTGGTACAAAATCATATCCAGTTAAACCTGTCTATAGCACCCCCCTCTTGGGACTCACCAAAATAGGGTGCTATAGACAGGTCACTTTTAATGTAAATCGCATCGTACTACGTATTTAGAGGGGGCGCTATAGACAGGTTTAACTGTATATAGTTTATATTTTGGAATTTTATACTATTTTTAAATTATCTTATATACAATAGAACCTCTATGAGAAGACACCTCTCTACAAACAGGAGTTTTCATCATCAAAATTACCATTTTTACTATTTAGCAACTCTCCTGTAAGGGGATACCTCACCTTATAAAGGAAACTTAGGTTATGCAATCAGGTGTCCTCTCCAGGAATATTTATAAAGCCTATCTAAAATGAACCAGGGATGTAGCAAACCTTCCCATATAACAAATCTAAAATAATCCCCAATATTAGTAATATCATAAGTTGAACAATGGCTATAGTCAACTCAGATTTGCTATAGTATGGTTTTACTGTATTAGAAGAAATAAGGTAGAACCTCTGTGTGAGAGAAAACTCAACAAATAACAGTTTTCAGCACCTATTCTTGAAATTCTATATATGTATCTCTGCAGACCTTATAAGCTTAGGTTTCCTAAACTGCCTTCTTTAATAAAGGCTGAGAATATATAAGGAAAATAATCCAATAGAAATGTAGAACATTCTGGAGAATAATTTGATGAAAAGTCATGGAGAGGGTTCACCACTGATGAGCTAAACCCTCTCTTCTAATAATATCTATTAGCACAGTATGGTCTGCACAGAGATAATGTTTGCCAATAACTTTACAAAGAGAGAAACATGAATGTATCTAAATAAAAAAGGTGTATCTGGATTTTTGTTCAAAGAAAAATAAATTTTTCTCAAAATATTTAGAAGGATTGCTTCCTCTTTATCAATTTATTGCACAATAAACTTGATTTACAAATTCTTGTAGATCACATAGAAACAACTTTGTCATTGGTCAAAAATAATATAAATGATAATAAGAATTTAGATATGAAAATTAAAGGCTTTTGTGTGTAAAAATGTTATGTAGTACGTTATATAATGCAACAACAAAAAGCTTTATTAAGACCCCTTTTGGTCTTATACAGATTCTCCGAGTAAAACAGGGTATAAACAAGAATAACAGTAATAGTAACAATAACCATCAATGTTATTTACAATGTATCAAATAAGAGGAAAGAAGAAAGAAAGGGCTTGGTATATACTTATATACAAGTAGTTCCTTTTCCTAAAAAATAATAATAGTATTGACAGAAATTTAGATTAGTACAAGTGAAAAAGGAATATACAACAATGTATTATACATAATTATAAAGCATCTTTATAGTTTTATACATGGATGGATCAAGGGTATGTTATATAATGTAAAAGATGACTGTATGTAAATAAATCCCAGGACAGTGACTGAGATGGTGATGCTCCAGCGGCACCAAGCAACCAATGGACAAGAGTGGACTGGGCCAAGCCAAGCCAACTGACTTCTCAGAACAAGATGATGAGTACGAGGTCTACCGTAAGAGGATGATGCTGGCTTACAGGTTCCGACCCAATCCCCTGGTGAGTTGTTGTCTGGAAACTGGGAGAGCCATGGTTGGTTTAATGTGCCACTCACTAAAGATACGGGGTTGAGGGACAAGGCAGATTCTCTGTGATTGGCTAGCTGCTCTCTCACTGCCAATGATGTCATGAGTTTTGATGGTGACGGCACACGTTGACTTGTAGAACCAACTGCAAACACAATTTAATACAGTGGTACCTCGACATACGAGCCGACGAGCAAGTGATTTTTTGCTTTGAGTTACGAGCGAAATTCAAGATACGAGTTCGGTTCGGTAGTGTTGAAGATATTAATCTGTGATTTTAAATGGGAATTTTGTATGGGGAAATTTTCTTCGAGATACGAGTATTTCAAGATACGAGCAAGGTTGCGGAACGAATTAAACTTGTATGTCGAGGTACCACTGTACTTAGAAACATAAGGTATTAACATCAAATCTAAATAGTGTCTGGGGTTTCGGTAACAGCATTGTTACCATCATTAAATAAAAGAAAGATTCAGTCTTTTGTCTGACGATGGGCACAACGTTGTTACCGAAACGTCGCACACTATTTATTTACTTGGATGTGGTCTTATTACCTTGTGTTTCTAATCTATAATCCAAATTGTGCCTTATCATATTTAATGCTTGTTAAAGTAAAAAATAATCTCTCACTTTGACCCTACTGCAATGAAAAAAATAATGTTTGATGCCTGGCTCATTAGTGGTGAACCTTCCCTCTCTATATAAACACCCTCCACAACTGCTTGGCTCAAACGCATTAATTGTCTTCGGCGGAACTCCCCTGTGATCTTTTTGCATGGTTGTAGCAGCTCGTAATATACCACTCCTAGCTGGTCCCACCAAATATACAGCATAATCTTCTCACCATGAATATTCAGCTTGGCCGTCGATGATGAGGCCAAGGTATCCATACATTGCCCAACGCTTTGGATTATTGTAATGGACCCACCTTTCATCGCCAGTTACAATTCGATGCAAATACCCCTTTCTTTTTTGACGTTGGAGCAATTTTTCAAATGTGAAAAAAAATGGCGTTTGACGTCTCTTTGCTTCAGTTCATACAGCACCCATTTATCTTTACATTAATATATTTCAGTGGAGTGGCTGTTTGCATGGAAAATATTTTGTGATCAAATGTTCGTTAGGCAGGCTTTCACTATGGTAAAAAAAAAAACCAGGGCAAAACCAGGTACGTTCTCTAGTAGAGGAAAAATGTCAAACATTCAGGTATAAAGTCTTCATTGGTGGATTTCCCCACAGGAAAGATTCTGCCAGTGATGGACTGTGAGAGTTATTTCCCAAAGTGTGGGCAGGTCGGAAGGAAGACCTCCATTGAGCTGCAAGTGATGCTCATCAAATTGGAGAATATTTGTCCATAAAGAGTTGTGGAGACCACACTTTGTTTCGGCCATCGTGAGCTGGGAGAACACCTTATTTGGGCTTTAATAAAGTCAATTTATTTTATAAAAACATTTTTATTATATTAAAAGCTTTATTAAATTCCACAAGAAAATAAGACCTAATCCAAATAAATTAATAGTATGTGACATATCGGGTAACAGCATTGTTATTAAAATGTCACACACTATTAATTTATTAGGATTAGGTCTTATTTTCTTGTAGCTCTAATCTATAATCCAAATTGTGCTGTATCATTTATTAAATGCCAAAATAAAGAGAGGAAATAAATAGTGGGTGCTGGACGTTGTTTTTCGACAACGCACTTGCCCCAAAAGTCCCGGATGCCGGCTGTGCATGAGTAGTGAGGTGTTCTCACACTTGCCGAGGCATAGTATGGCTGCTACACTACTGCCCAACCACATATGTGCAATGAGGTGTTCGCCCAGCTCACACTTGCTGAAACATAGTTTGACAATTGTGTGTGTGACAATTTAAACAATTATATTGATTCTTCTTGTTACAAAGGTGTAACAAAAATAATAAGATAGTAAATAAAGGTTAGATAAAATGTAGGGGAATATAAATAGTTGTATATATGTACAAATTTCTTCAGCAAGGAAGGCTTCCCCACCTTGAGAGAGTTCTCCTCCAGACAAGGTCTTCTTGAACACTCCTCAGTTCCACACCGAGGAAGTGAAACGTAGTTTGATTGCTACAGAGTCACACCCAAACTTGAATTGACCTATCGGAACAGCTCTCCTTGTAGACTGCTTGTAGATTTCCATCTACATCCATCCATCCATTCATACATACATTCCATCTACTGTAGAGCTTACAACCCCTGTGGTGCTGTGACAGAACAACCCCAGAAGAGCCTACTATTGAATATCCCACCACCGCCGCCCTATGTGTGAATGTACATAACCCGCCCAGCCAATACATCCTGTAAATTCCCATTTGATGAAGACTACCCCTAGGAGTATTATCCTGTAGATGTGTACATAGAGAGGAATATATATATATGTGCAACACCCCCCCATAGTATATATATGTGACACACGATAGTATATATGTGAATAAATTGCTGATATACCACTGTTTCTCTTATACTGAGATGGATCTATCCAGTTGGCCACCATTGATGTTTGACAGAGAGCCTAGCTCACCATAATACTGTGGGACAACACGTCGGAGATATCTACATACCACAGTAGAACTGTTTCTTATCCCTTATTATACAAATTCCATGATCCCATGGAATGGGTGCAGCTTTCATTGATCATGGCACCATGATCCAGGCACACTTTAGGGAAAATCTGACTTGCCTGTAATTTGAGGCCGTTTCTAACATGGAAGCCCTTGCTGAGATCTATCAACCATGTTTTTAAACTCAGTATTTTTAAAGAGGTCTTTCTCCTCTTCAAACAATGCTACTGTTGGTCTGCGACTACTTATTCATCAGAGTTATTCTTCTTGTTTCGCAGCTGGCCTTCATATCTGAAGGTTGGGGTCGGTGGAAGGCTGGGTAAACCGTTTGGTTTTCGACCACTAGGACCCGGGTTCGATTCCCGCATTGGGCACTTTTTTCTGTTTAAAAAAAAAAATACTCCAATGGCTCCCGATTCTTGCAAAAGTCCAACCCCACCAGCGAGTGCAAGTAACCAAACGGGGCTCTGGCATTTGTAAGTGCAAAGTCGAACTGCTTTTCACATGTGTAGATATGTGGTGCGCTTACAGTAAAAGCAGTCGCTAACTACCCACGATGATTATCATGGCCTGTACCACGTGTACTAGGGATAAGCAAAAAAAAAAAGGTTGTTCCCCTATCCGCCACCTAGGCACGCGCCCTGTAGCCGTCAGCTCTGCCGAGGGACAGTAGAACTACCTCTCTGTAACAGACAATACCTCGTTGCTGAAACAGTGTCCTTTAGAGCAAGATGTCTTTTACTGGAGAGTTGCTAAGTACTAATTATGGTATTGTCATGATGAAAACTATCGTTTGTAGAGAGGTGTTGTCCTCTAGCGTGTGTGGAGATGGTTCTACTCTCTTTAACATAAAGTTAGAGGTTACCTGGCCAGTACATCTAGTTCTTGTTAAACAAGACACTTCATCCTGTAAAGATATCATCATTGTAACAAAAGACTTTTATCCTTGTCAAGATGAAATTAAATCTAAAAATCAGTAAATTGAACTCGTAGTGATACCATAAAGTGAAGTTCTTTTGGAGTTTGCTATAGTGAGGTTTTACTGTACAAGACTCTAAAAATACTTGGTATAATTCAACTGGTTTTTTAAATTCTAACCAAGTTCCTTACTATAATTTAATATCGACTACAATTCTCATCACTTACTTCAATTCAGGGGGGTCGGTGGAAGGATGATCTAAACCCTTGGTTTTCAACCGCTACTACTCGGAATTGAATCCTGCATTGGACACTTTTTTCTGATTTAAAAAAATGTTCCAATGGGCCCCGATTCTTGCAAAAGTCCAACCCCACCACCAGTGAGTGCAAGAAACCAAATGGGGCTCTGGCCCATTTGTAAGTGCAAAAGTCGAACAGCTTTTCACGTGTGAAGACATGTATGTGGTACACTTACAGTAAAAGCAGTCGCCAACTTTTACCCACCATGATTATCATGGCCTGTACCATGTGTACTAGGGATAAGTAAAAAAAAAACAATGGTTGCCTGTAAAGTCGGTTTTACGGGCGAAGATTTTACGTGACAACGGTAGAATATTTATTGATATGAATATAATTAAATTGCACAATAGGAACAAGGAATTGAATGAAAATAAGAATTGCACAAATTTTAACTATAGAAATATATTTTGTTTACTAAAACATTGTACATGTAAACTTAAACTTAACTAATTCCTATTTGAGTGATTTTGTTGAGGATAGGACGATGATAGGAGAAATATGAAATGAAAGGAAGTGTTTCTGCTGTAATGTGTCTTGCGAAAGTCAAGTCGATAGTTGTTCCTTTTAACGTAGTTGACTTAGAAACGTTTGATACGCAATCAAGATTATACGTATTTTTCATAAAATTAAGAAACGAGTTGTCAGGCTTTACGTTTTTGTTAAAATCACCACACAGAAGAATCGGTATACTAGAATCAATTTGCACGAACGGTGGCACGTACTGGCTGTTGTGAATGTACGGACCGAGTCCTTGCCATAGTAACATTCCAATATCCTGCATACTAGCTCCTGGATGAATATATACAGCACCGAGTATAAACTTGAAGCTAGTATTAGCGGCGAATCAAAACACTTATTCAGATCGAAGGTTCAAATTTTTGCTAAATAAATTTGAAATTAAATAAAATTTGTAATTGTAAATGATGAAGTTGAAAATTAAAACATTTACTTATATTAGATGTTAAAATTCTTGCTCAACACAGTTTAAATAAAGTTTTCTTATATCTGCCACTTTTTCTTAATATTTGTAATTTTAAATAATCAATTCGAAAATCAAAACATTTATTCAGATCGAAGGTTCAAATTTTTGCTAAATAAATTTGAAACTATTTAAAATTTGTAAAATAATAATTAATTAATTAATTAATTTTAAACTAATAATTTACTTAACACTATCAACATTTATCAATAGTATGACATAACCTATAAACTCAGTTTCTCAACTTTTGTGTCAATCTAACAATTAATCAATCAATCATAGTTTACGATAATGAAATATCAGTGTACAATTATTTACCTTTATTTTTGTAGTTGTTGTAAATGACGAATCTAAGCACTCCACATTTTCACTACAGACACAGCTGACGATACTTTAACCACACGTGTGAACTTGTATTATGACGCTTTCTTGTTTTTCCAACGCCAAGAACGTTCGAGAAAGACAAAGACAGAGACAAGCATGCGCCGATTCAATGCGCCTAATTCTCTAGCGCTGCGCGCGCAGCACTCTCGTTCGGTGACTCATCGTAACGTTACCGGGCGTTACACTTTTTCATAAGTGACTCCCAGCCGCAACCTAATTTAAGACGTTGTCACGTCAAAAAATTAATTCAGCAGGAAGCATCTTGGGGTTATTCAATTAGAGTTGAATTCATATTCGACATTGAGAGGATTGGGTAGAATAGGGTGTTTCATTTCTGAAGTCATTCGACAAAGCAATACAGGAGTTACATAGCTTCAAGAAAAGTTCAGTCCAACTTCTTCTCTAACACCCAAGTTCCCATTTGAATTAAAATTGGTTTTATGAATTATATATATATATATAAGGCATAATTTGGATTATAAATTTTAAACACAAGGTAATAAGACCAAATAAATAAATAGTGTGTGACGTTTCGTTATAACCTTAAGATTAGGTGAACAACAAACTTACAATCCCCAAAAAAGAATTGAAATATAGATCTTGGAGTTGAAGGTAATGGTGACTCAATAAATCTTCTTCTTCTTTCTTATCTTCACTCAATCATATTAAGGTATCAAGCTTGTAAAGCTTGAGATGGTGTCTGTCGGGGATGAGTAGAGCACATCAATGGATAAGTCAATACTGTCAATAATGTGTTCCAATAAATATTTGAAATATGTGACTATTGATAAATGAGGTTGGATACCGCTGCTCCATGTCTTCGCCAACAGTGGCCATGAATGTTCAATAAACATTGTAAAGCCTCCATTTATTCTTCTTTGATTTGAACCACTAGATGGGAATTTGGCCATAGCAACTTAATAGGTTAGACGAACACATTTTAACTTGCCTTAGATGCACTAAACAGTACCTTTGGGAGAGGCTGCTGCTTATCAAACAGCTCAAAGAGCATGGACTAATGGAATTTGTGTAATCTTTGTACAAGGGGATAAGAAATAGCAACATAGATTAGACACCTCTTTGGCAATTTCTGCTCCATTGTTGTTTCTTATCCCCTTGTGTAAAGATTACATTAATTCCATGAGTTGATGCTCCTTGGGATGTTTTATGATAAGCAGCAGCCTCTCCCAAAGGTCCTGTTTAGTTCATCTACTACAAGCCAAAATATGTTCTGAAGCTGCCAGTGCCAAGCTACATTTTGGGCAAGTGGGGAAGATTTTGTTATTATTTTCTATCTTCAATGGCTTGAGATGGCCTTTCTGCTCCATGGAATGATGGAGTGCTATTGATCTATGAAAGCAAAGATTGCCTTCCTGTCAAATTAAACGTTAAAACTAGACTGTCGCCACAAACTAGCAGCCTCCAATTGGTGACAAAGCCACAGCACCAGCTTTGGCAAACTGAGAAACGTCCACCTGAGGACCATGGTTCCAGGCTAAAGTCCCTCTTCAACCCAGGGTGGACTCTATATTCCATGAGAATCACAAGGGATATAATGGAATCTTCAAAATCTGCCAAAGAGGTGTTTAGCTTCATCTCAGCCAAATTTCCATCTATATTTTGACCACACATATATTTGGCCTAGCTACTTTGCCAGCTAATACCTCTTTGAGAATTATCAAGATTCCATTAGATCCCTTGTAAATCTCATGGAATAAAGTCCGCCCTGTGCTGAAAAGGGTCATTAGCCAGAAACCATGGTCTCCACAGGTGGACGCTTCTCAGTTTTCCAAAGCTGGTGTTGTGGCTTTGTCACCGACCCGAGGCCGCTAGTTTACGGCGATGGTTGATAGTTGGCGTTGATTTGATGGGACAGGTGACCTATAATTTCATAGATAATTTAAAAAGTCACTTCTATGGCTTCCCATTAATCTCTTACATTAGTGCATATGGGTTTTTGCCTTTGGTAAATATCAATAAAATTGTTTAAAATATAATAAGAGATATTTTATATATAAATCACCTTGCCACAATTATAAAGCCTACTAGGTTCTTGGTGTAAAACTAAACAAATGGTAGGTAAAAGTATTATCCCTAGTTCACCTGCTACAGGCCATGATAATCATGTTGTTGTTGTTGTTTCTTATCCCCTTGTGTAAAGATTACACGAATTCCATGAGTTCATGCTCCTCGAGCTGTTTTATGATGAGCAGCGGCCTCTCCCAAAGGTCCTTGGCAGAGCTGACTGCTATAGGGCGCGTCCCCAGGTGGCGAATAGGGGAACGATCTTTAGATATGAAGGCCAGCTGCGAAACAAGCAGAATAACTGACAAATAAGCAGTCGCGGACCAACAGCAGCATTGTTAGAAGAGGAGTAGACCTCTTTAAAAATCCTGACTTCAACTGACCCGGTTGATGGACCTCAGCAAGGGTCCCACTCCAGGGATACGGAGGAGCTGCGTCTGTACTCATGTTAGAGTCGGCAGCAAAGGCGTCTGCTTCCATGTTAGGAACGGCCTCAAACTACAGGCAAAGTCAGACTTTCACCAAAGTGTGCCTGGATCATGGTGCCATGATCAACGAAAGCTGCACCCCTACACCCCATTCCATGAGATGATAATCATGGTGGCCAGTATTTGGCAACTGCTTTTACTGTAGTGTACCACATGTCTATATATATATTGTAGCAAAGTATTTATTATTTTGTTAACAGAGTATCATTTTTGATGTTTATATTTTGCTACTCTCTAAACTTCCCTCATTACTTATCTTTTGTTTATCATTCATAGTTTG